TTCCTTCCTTCTCTTCTGCAGTCAACAATATTTAAGAAAGAAAAAAAATAGTGACTGAAAAGAAAAATATTTTGATTTATTTTAAAAACACAAACCAATTTCAAGATATCCGTGACAAATACTTGTTTAGATTTGATTTTATGAAACCCTGGGTATTTTAATAATTGTATTTTTAAAATCAGAAAATCCAGCAGAAAGAATGAGTTAAGGTTGCTCTTCAACAGTGAAAAAAATACATGAAAGAAGCAGCTGGGCTTTGCAACAAGAGATATTGTACAAAATGTGAAAATCAGAATTTTCTCTCCAAACTCAGTTATTTTATACAAAAGCAGAATCAAATTTTACCAGTCCCGGGAAATATTTTAGAGATCCTGCCCTACTCCAAGCTATTACCACAGGGTGCCTCAAGGCATTTCTTTCCTCTTGACTACAGCGTGTAACTCTCTTCAAGCATGAGGAAACTGAATTGCTGTAAAACTGCATTACCCTGTCACGGGTTTGAAATCCTGGGGAAAATTGTGATAGCTTTACAGGGGCTGTGTTGCTTCAATTATTTAAAGTTTAAAATGTCTTTTTTTTTTTTTAATGATATACAGAAACCCAATTACTCACAAAACTCTAACAACCACTATAAAAATGTCAGCAGTTACCAACAATTAGCATACATATATATAGCCCATTTAAAGATAGGGATATTCTGTATGTTACAGCACAGACTACTGGACTGCTAAATGTGTTTTTTTTTAATGTAGTTCAGTATCTTCAGGGAGTTCTCTGAAATACACATACTCTATAACAGGACAGCCAACGTACATGATTAAGGGTGGGTTAAAATTAATTGCCTGACATATGAACTAAACTCACTGAACAGTGATGTGAATCCTTCAATGCTCCACTGAGTGAACTACGCTCCTGCCAAAATCCCTAAAATGCTGAATTAACTTTGAATGTGCAACCATGAATCATGACTCTCTTGACCCTTCCCCAACATATTTTTCCCTCATTTCTTTCCCTCTCCATTTGTATTAGCAGAAAGCATAAATTGTATTAGCACAGAGAAGCTTACAAAAAAACCCCGAAACCACAAAAAAAAAAAACCAACCCAAAACCAACTCCACAGGCTGCTTTGAGCATAGCTGAATTTCCTCTCTGGATCTCTGCGCTTATTGATCAGAGGCTTGAACTTTTCACCCCTTTAGTAAAACAGGCTTTCTGATCATCGCAGCGTGATGCTTGTCTATGCACAGAGGCTTCTGCTTTCGGGTATGATAATAACTGACATTAATCACATAGTGCTTTTCCCATTAATGTTTGCATGCTTTAAATTAGAAGGCTACTGTGACTACATAGCCTTTTTTGGATTCCTAATAATCCAATTAATTCCATTTATACAGGGAATGTAAGTGTAGAATTCAGCCCTCCTCCACAAACGTTAATTTGGCAGTGACCTCATGATGTGTAGTTTCATCTCAGTCTCACACGTTGGAGGATACAAGCCACTGAGTTCTGGGCAGCAGTGTCTTTATGTCACTATACTAAACAAACACTCGAAAGCATGTGCACTGAAACAAGTGGGTCTGAATCCGCCTAATGAGCCAGAAGCGCTGAACTAGTAACTCCTCGGTAGCATCTCTCCTTCCATTGGGCAAGCACGGCTCTGTAACACAGACCTTGCAAGAACCAGCCTTTTCACACTGCTAGCTATTTATAGCTATCAAGTCAGCAACATCAGCCAGACCCAAACATAGACAGAGCACCAGAAAAGTGCAGTCTGTGCTAGAAGCGGAGCCTGGGCATACTGACCGCTGAAGCTGGAGCCGTAACATAAATTCACCAGACCGGAAATACAGATCTAGAAAATCTAAGAGCTACCTTTTTACTTCAGCCAAGCGGCCAATAACTGACCAGGTAGTGAACAAAAGTGCTTGAGTTACAATAGCAAACCACCAAGCTATTTAGCTGATGAACAAGTAAAATCACTGAAATATGAGTTCTGATCTGTGTAACACTGCAGCTGTTGAGCAAATGACCTTACCATAACCTATACTTTTCTATACTAGGCAAACTTCCTGTACTAATCTATACTGAATCTATACTATTTCCTCTTGGCATCTTACCACCTAAGGGAGGGGAATAACCAAAGTCATGTACCCCTGAGCGTTAACATCGAACGTCACATCTAGAAATAGCAGGTCAAGATCTCCCTAGGGCAAGCTTGAGATCTCTGGAACGACTGTCATCAAACTGGCATCAAAACCGAGAATCAGGTTTGCCAGCTTGATGGATGTCTGGTGAACAGACCTTAGTGGTGATTTAAGTAAGGTTACATACAGCCGTGTACAGTGTACAGAAACAGCTAATACCAAGAAAGTTGCGTGGTACTGTTTTAAACTAAATCAAGAGCCACAAAGCTAGGGGACCGGGGAGAAATACTACAGGAAGGTGGAAAGAGGAAATGTTTGTATATGCTTTATACAAAACATACAATGTACGAAATGAGCAGTGAGAGGACACATTGGAGGCAGGGCCCAATCCCACAACCTTCGCGCACTGTGCTTGCTAACCTGAGCTGTCCTATTTGGAGTGACAGCGGACACAAGATCTTCTTCATCATCTTGTAAAACTGCAGTTATTACTACAAATATATTCAGAGATCTAGCAGACCTTAAGCTTTCAGGAGGAATTGACATACTTGGTGTATCTCTGGGGGGGGCCTGATGAAATCAGATTGTATTTTGGTAGTGGCCTGTCGCAAAGGGCGCACACACCCCTGCAGCTCCTGGGGTTTACGTATAGCAGCTTTCCAGTATCTGGAGGGCGTGTACAAGGAAGCTGGAGAGGCACTTTTTGCAAGGGCATGTAGTGATAGGACGAGGGGTAATGGCTACAAACTGGATGAGTGCAGATTTAGAATAGATATTAGGGAGAAATTTTTCACTCTGAGGGTGGTGAGGCACTGGAACAGGTTGCCCAGAGAAGCTGTGAAGGACCCAGCCGTGGAGGTGTTGAAGGCCAGGCTGGACGGGGCTTGGAGCAACCTGGTCTGGTGGGAGGTGTCCCTGCCCAGGGAGGTTGGAACTAGGTGATCTTTAAGGTCCCTTCTAACTCTTAACCATTCTATGATTTCTCATATTTGCTGTTTGGGTACAACGATGCTTGATGTCTTGAAGGCTGCCCAGTGCCATCACCCACCCAAGGACACCCTTCTACCTGCCTGTTTTATCCCTCCAAGCATCCATCTCTCCTAAAACCATCCCCTAGCGCAAAACATGCCCTGGAAGCCTCCGATGCTCCCTCTCCACACCTCTGGGGACCAGCTCCCGCTTGCACAGCCACTCATGTAGCACACATGTGCTGTCACGGCCATGAACTGCAGCTGATGCACCACGAAAACTGACCCACTCCGGCTTTTTTTCCTGGACTCGCGAGGACCAAAACCACCACTGCTCACATCTACTGGGCGGGGAGGGGGTGGGCAAGGCCGCTAATGGCTGCCGCCCCCTCGGCGGGGCCGCGCATGCGCACTCCTACCGCCCCTCCGCTCCCGCCGCGCTCTGCGGAAGTGACTTCATCGCGCAGCCCCGTCCCCGCCCCTCCTCCCTCTCGCTGGCCGTTCCGCGCAGTCTCGCCTTCCCGGGCGGGGGGGGCTTTG